CACAATTTTTGATGATAACAGTCTTGGATGTTAGAAACTGGTTGGAAGTGTTGTTGGAAAAGCTGCACGTTTGGATCAGATGTCAGATATCAGTCGCTCTGAATTATTTCTCTTCAGTTTGGTTACACCTAAAATGTTAATGGTCATGTTAATACCATAGAAACCTGATCATTCATCATCTCGACATGTGATGCAGATCATAACTTTTACTTTCTTGTTATTTTAGAAGAACTCGTTATGAACTTTACCACAGCCTTAAGAATAGAAACCAAGTGTCCTGCACTGAGTCAGCTGGGCAGGGCAGCCATGGGCTGGACCTTCGAATGATGCCGTCATGGCCATAAATTCAGGTTTTCCACAGATCTGGATAAAACTTGGTAATGAGTCAGATATGTTTGGCTCAGTGTGGAGGCTGTAACAGCTAACATTTATTTTTAGTCTGTTTTTTTGCAGTAATTCTTTTCCATTTTGTTATGTTTTTTTTTCCAAAATTTGAGTTTCTTTATCAAGTCAACAGGCAGTCTATAACAGTGACCCCAGTTTTGTGGATTTTTCCTTTTCTCATCCTGGTTTATGTCTTCTGTCTTGGTTCCTTCCTGTCCTTGAATGTGACAGGTCCGTGCTGTAAATGCCATGTTCACTGAATGGCACTGATTCCTACAAATGTAAATTCAGTGGTGTTCGTGAAGGTGCACTTCTACTCAACGAATGCCATACTACATCAGTGCCTGGCTGAAACAGGACGTGCTGTTATGGCCGGTGATGGCCGGGTCTCTGTTCAGTGTTTCCTCCCCAGTTTCACAGACATCGTCCTAGTTCTCTTTGTCAGTTTCGCTCCGTCACTTCCACCACTCTGTCTCTCTCTCAGTCTCCATCTTTCACTGTCACCTGCTCAACTTCCTGCTTCGGTTTCTCTCCGTCAACTCCTCTGCCTCTTGTTACCGTCTCCTCCTCATCATCTCCTGTCATCTTGTCAGCTGGTGCAGCAGCCATTGCTGTCTCTCCTCCAGATGTTCAGCCTGCCTTCGCCAGGCTTGTCGAGGTGGAAGCAGATGGAGGAGGAGAAAAGGTTTGTTGATGAGTTGAACAAACTGTCACTGGTGTGCAGATTGTTTCATACAGATTCATTCATTGGTTTGCGTGAACAGTGATGGACGTCGTGAGGAGGAGGGTCGGGCATGTTTACAGTATTGTGTGTCGTCCATCAAATTTATTGTTTCAACCCTTTTGTCTGGTTTGTGTGTGGTTCAGCACGATGTCCCAGATTAGTTGGTTGATGTGTTCAGCAGCAGCAGTGCACGCTGGGACTGCTGGAAGGATTGGACTCCAAACGACCCCAGCTTCAAAGACGGCACTGCCTCAGAGAACAACAGCCACAATAAATTGAATCTGTCCACTTGACAAACATCTGGCAGCTAGAAATTACATTTATGCAACTGGAGATAAAAATAAAAAAAAAATCACAGTCATCTGTCTTTTAACAAATTAATACATTTGAATCCTCCACTTACATGGACTCTGAACCATCATAAATTCCAGTTGTCTTTGTCTTTAAATATCCTCCTTACCAGCACAAAGTCAAATGATCGTATTTATAGCAGCGACTATTTTTGAGGCTGAATCCTGTTTATACATCATCAGTAGGCACGGAAAATGAGCTGTTCGGACTTTAGTCTTTTGATTTGACAAAGAGCCTGTGAATTGTCAACATCAGACATCAATTGTCTGCTTGACTATTTATAGTAAGCAAAGGTTGACCTTGACAACAGAAGCTTTTACACAGAAGCCTGTTTGTGGACAGGGTACAGTTTAGATGGATGGATAGATGGATGGATGGATGGTTGATGAATGATGGATGAATGGATGGATGGATGGATGGATGGATGATGGATGATGGATGGATGGATGGATGGATGGATGGATAGATGGATGGATGTATGGATGGATGGATGGATGGATAGATAGATAGATAGATAGATGGCTGGATGGAGTGATAACAAAATGATAGATCAATTAATAATTTATTATTGTTATTATATATAATATTAATTATCACTTTGCATTCTGTGTCTCTGATATGTGGAACTGTGGCTCTCTCAAAAGAGTTACATTTCCACTCTGGATCCTGTACAAAGTTGGAGAGTTTAAATATTTAAGTGATGAGAAGGTACTTTCACTTTGTGAATGGTCCCAGGAGTGGAAATAAATAGTTCTTTGGTTCTGTCCCCATTCTTAACAATGGTGCCATCAGTTCTTTCTTTCCCAATGTTGGACTCTTATTTATCTACCTTTATCGTAACTAAAACCAAGCAGCCTGTTGTTTCACTGTTAATGTCAGTGTGATTTACTGAACACAGCTTAACACAACATTACTATGCAAACACACAACATCTAACCGTTGTATAACAGCTGAGAAATTGTTGAAGTAATTCATCGAGGCACATTTTACGAAGCTCTCTCTGCAGTTCATCAATGTCTGTGTGGAGTCTGTGTGCTTTTAAATTGATCCCGTAACTGACATCACGTCATCTCAGTCGTAAATGTTTATTGCAGATCGTAATTACCAAAGAAAAACACAAGTCTTATACACTGAGCAGAGAGTCATTGTCACTGTGGAGGAGACGTTTGATTGGCTCCTTGGTTAGGTAACTGTTGTTTAATAGCAGATCTATAAGGGGATTTAGGTGAAACCATTAATTGTCAATCTGAACACGCTAGCTTTTTAAACTACTGGTTTGAACACAGGATCAAAGAGCTGCAGATTTGAAAGTGTTATCAGTGAACCAGCCCTTCTTTAAACCAGTAAGAGTGGAATAGATATTCTTCATATTTCATCACCTCGGGATCATGCTTCCATATTTAGCTTCAAATCAGCTAAACGTTTCACCAGAATCCATTGTTTGTGGATTAAAAAAAAAAAAAAAGTTTAATGAAAAACACAGTCTAGCACAATGGAGTCAGTTTTTTGGCTGAGTCAGCACAGATGACAGCTAAATTGGCGAAAAAATACTTGAAAAGTGAATATTGGTTTTCTAGACAAAGAAGTGAAATGGTTTAAAAGAAAAGGTGAAAAAAGTCATCCAAGTGAAACAAGAAATCCAAAGAGGTCGATACATGTTCCCAGACTCTCTTCCCAGTATAATTCCATATCCTGGCTGACTGACAAGTTTCACAAAAGGCTTAGGATTTTTCTATTGTATTCTCAACTCCTACATTTTGATGAGAAAACTGTTGTCGAAGCCTTCACAGACTGTACGGTGCATTACCAAGTGCATTCCTCAAGGCTTAGGAAGGAAAGTGTTTCCACTTAAGTGCACGCCTAAAGTAGCAAAACTATGCAGCCACGAAATAAGTGGTGACATAACCGATGACGAAACTGCCACATGGGCACATGAAGACGACACCAAATGAATTGCCTGTTGCTTCATTAGTCTCTTCCAACATCCGAATGATGTCAAGTTTACCAAAAAAAACAAAAACAAAAAAAACCAAAACAAACTCAGATGGTTGGTACTGCCTTCGGGGTCCATCCCTGACCATCTGTTTCATCAAGGGGAACCAAAACATCTCTCAAATCTGTTCTCTTCCAAAACCAAATAATCCTTAAACCTTGCTCCTTGCCATGCGGTACATTAATGTATTATTACTTTAATCTGACAGGGAGGCGATGGTAAAGCTGTTTTCTTTCTCCTTGTGACTCAACAAGCTCCTCAGATGAAGTAATTGACGAGAGGATGAAACACGTTCCACTGCATCTTGTTTTCATTTGTTTTCCCTGTTGTTTTTGATGCCAGTGATGTCACGGTGTGGCTGTGGAAAAATAAATGATGGAACCAGATTGGTTAATATTCTTGAACTGTCAACATGTAAACAGCAGATATTGCCTTTGACAGCATTTCTGCAGATGTTTATGTTTAAATTGAAAGCTCTGTTGTAGCCACCGGGGGCTCCACTTGTTTGAACGCCGGTCCACTCTTTCAAATGACTTTGGATTCAAATCAGTCCATAGACATGATTTTACAGCAATGAATAAATAGCAAACTGTGGAGTTCTCTTCCTCTTCCTCCTCCTCTTCCTCCACACCCAGGCAGTTTTTACTTTCTCTTGGATTGTTACATTTTTAATGCTAATGGTTGCTGTGTTTCTGCCAGTGTGGTTGGTGTGGGATCATTATTACTTTTCTGGCTGCTGGCTAAACAGAAAGTTGTTTTTTGTTAACAGACGTTGGGGCCAAGTTGTGATTCATTTCTTTTTACAGAGGACACAAAATACATCCTCTGTTTCAAACACAGCAGAAGGCTCTGTCTTCTGTTGTTGACAAGTCCTGGATGCTGCCTTTTCACGATGGTGTAAACATGGCATATTTCAGGTTCTGTATATTTTCCAGACCTGGACTTATTCCGGTAATATTTTTTTCCCCTCCAAATGTAGTGGTTGCTGGCCTCACTCCTGCCTGTTAGGCACATTTTGTTGCTGTTTCTCTGCAACTAATGAAGACAAAAAATGTTTACATTTCCAAATGAGACCATTTCATTATCCTTGCTGTCTTGTTAACACAGTTTGGATTGGGAGAATGTAGCTATTGAGGTTGTTTTTTTTTTCTTACAGACTGCAGGTCGCCCTTCAGGGTCTCATCAACAGTCCTTGAATCTTTTGGATAAAAGACAAAATAAAAACAAAACTTCTTGATGCAGTGTAATAAGTGGTACTGCCTCTGCTCAGTGGGCATGGACTGAATTATTAAGCCAATGAAAAACAGTGCAGCTGGGCACTGCTGTGTCTACAGCTTTCTAAAAGTTCTCATCCCGGAACTTTTTGTATGTTTACTACTACAGTAGATAATACTTTTTTACAGAGCGAACACAGAATAATTTACCCTTTTCTGCAACATTTCTGCTAAAATTAAGTAAGTCCAGTAAGCCATGGTTTGAGGTTTACGCAGTGGGGACACAGTTAGCTTCAAATAACTAATGGCTAACCGATCTTGTCTGTGTTTGCAGGGGACGTTGCTGGGACCAATGTGACTGAACTGGACAATGCAGCCAATCTCACTTCCCTCCTTAAAGAAGAGGAAGGGCCCGCCAGGGTCGATGACATCATCACCACTGTAACACAGACCAGCAGCTCCTCCACTCCTGAAGTGATCACCACTGTGACCCCACGGGCAGGTCGTATCCCTCGCACTAGTGATGAGGAGCAGAGCAGCGGGATGTTTGGAGAATCGATGATTCCTGCCGTGCAGGAAGTTGAGATTGCCGCTCCCCCACAGCTCATTCCAGATTCTGCTGAAACTGATCTCCTGCTGCCGAGTGTTCCGCGTAAACCAGATCTCTCAGAGAGTGAGGAAGAAATAGGTGAGGGGGAAAAGGGTCTGCCCAGCACTGACCCACCATGGATCCAAGCCAAAGACACAGCCGTGTTTGATCTAGACCATCTCTTCACCACCATTGACCCTCCCCCATCCACCACCACCACAACCACCACCACCACCACCACCACCACCACTACTCCCAACCCTGACCTTGTCCATGTGGACTACATTGACCAATCGCCTCGGGGACGCAACCTGGACCTAGCCCCACCCTCTCCTTCATCACTGGCCCATGAGCTTCAGGGTGGTGACCCAACCTCCTGGGCAATGCCTGATAACTATGACTACCTCACGCCCTACGATGACGGTATATCCCCCTCTCCTGACGAGTATTCATACAGCACCACGACTGAGACCTATGAGAGCGACGATGACATTCGACTGCTGGCTGGGGCTCCAGATCGCACCAAGCCTCGATCTCCAGGGTCTGGTCCTATTAACGTAGGGGCAGCCTTACCCGGTGTGGGAGCTCCGGCAACAAGCGATCCTGTCGCTCCTCCTCCTGTGCCGGCACCAGTGGATGGGTCGGATGGGCTGGACGGATGTCGTGTGGGCTACCAGATTGTCAACGGAACCTGCCGTTCTCCCTGTGACATGCTGCCCAACTACTGTTTCAACAGCGGCCAGTGTTACCTGCTGGATGGTGTAGGAGTCTTCTGCAGGTACGACCCATCTTTAATCATCATAACTTATTTCATTTATTTATTCAGTTAATTATTAGAACTGCACTGGTTAGCTTTTAGCTACATTCAGGAAAACGTTTTACCTGGATTTTCTTTATCTCTTAACTTTTTTTTTTTTTTTTAACCTGTTGTTTGGTTTATGGTGGCCCAACAAATGACTCGAAAGTGTTAGCTGTAGTTGGGGATGTTTGTGTCCTACATTAGGATTTTCAGCTGTGGGATATTTGATAGGTGGCGCTTTGGCCCAGAGGCAATGTCTCTGTCATTGGTGTGGAACCCCAGAGTTCACCTCCTGGGCAAGATTGAACCCCGGTTAGGGCGGTTGGTACCTTCCAGTGGACTCACCACCCGCAGGAAGGTTCAGGGGGGGTTGGTACGGTGCAGTGTGATTTGGGTGGCGGTCATGGAGACTGATGTCCTGCAACCTAGTAACGGATAAGCGGATGAAAATGGATGGATGGATAGATATTTGATAAGAGTTGTAGGCCTTCTAAATAAACACAACCCACAGGTGAAATAGAAAAGCTTAATATAAGGCTGGCTCTGCCTCTAATCAAGCTAGTATTGTCAGTGTCAGTCTTAAATCTAATTAAAACTAATTGTCTGACAAATGAAGCAATGCAAGTGTCAGTCTTAAATCTAATACTAATTGTCTGACAAATGAAGCAATGCTTTAAATCAGCTGTTGTGGGAAAATAAAAAAAATAAATAAAAATTTCAGTTCTGCAGCTGCTCTCAAATAATTCTGCTCGGCGTAAAAATAGAAACCTGCAAGTTTGGGCATTGTGTGATTAATGTCCCGTCTCGTCTTCCACGCTCTATTCTAGGGTTTATTTTTCTTCTGTGAGTGCTGGAGGTATTTGAAAATACTGCATAGAGATGCAGTACTTCTGTGATAAAGCAGGTGCACAAACAGAGGGACTGAAAATTAAACATCATGTCAAATCAATTGTATTTGCTTAGCCCAAATTCACAAACATGTTTTGCCTAAATTGAGTTTAATAAGAATATTCTTGACCCCCAATCTAAGGATAAAAAAGAAAAAGATACCTGTGATGAAATTAGAGTCATAGTATTATATTTAGGTGGTTGACCTCTTCTCTACTCTGTGACGTTTGGTCCCTGAGTTTCCGGCATCAAGGTGATAGCATCGGTGTTATAGTCATTTGAAAATGGAGAGTTATTACATGATAAATTTAACACTTCCTTTAAGACCTGACTATGTGGTATTTATCAAGGACAACATTAGTGTGAAGTAGTGTGAAGGATCACATGTTCACATGTCTAGATTAGTAAGTCTCACTACGATACTTATAAGGCAGGAATATGAGTTTGAAGTGAAGGGTCTTGTAACATATGTTTGGAAGACGAACAAAACTTTAACAGGAATTGCTTCAACCTTTGTAGAAATCCAATCTGTCATTGGTCAGTCTGTGTTCTAACGGTAGCATTTGCCACTGACCAAGGTGAAAAAAGGTGGAGTTGACATTGTTTGTCTTTATTGCGAGGTCAGCTACACTTGTACCCATTCACCCTGCAAATCAGATAATGATAAACATTGGAATGCTTCTTAAAGTAAAATATTAATAATTATTTAAGTAAAAACACACAAAGTAGACGTGTGCTGCCATTTTGTCCTGAAGGTCAGTATTTGTTCAGGAAGAAATCCATCATGAGGACGAGAGGCAGACAAAACCATTTTCTACACCTTCTGAGGATAAATGGCTGCTCCAGCAGCAAACAACAGCCAGTTTATCAAAAATAAAACCGTCTGGAAAAACAGGCAGCGCCTCCGACTGATGAGATGTAACTTTGTGTGAGTTTGTTGCATCAATCACGTACACAAACACATATTTGTAGATCTTTTGAAGGGTAGACACTCTAATGAGCGTCTCCCTTTAATCAGGAGATGAATTGAAGCAGCCAATCGGTGAGCTGGCGTTTCCAATTAGTGAACAGCTGCGGAGATTAAGATGCAAATGTATGCACAGCGGCCTGCAGCCTCCTGCCTGGAGCTGATGGGAAAACTATTACAGAGAGTGACACGGTAAACAATCTCGTCGTATCAATCAATCTGGTCTGCAGGAAGGGTCAGAGAGTGAATTCTGACAAATCTCAGATGCTGAAAGTCTCAAGACGCACAGCCTGGATCTGTCTGCTTTAAAATAGCACGCTGAGATATATACAGCTCGACCTTTTGACCTCAGTTTTGGGTTTTATTCTGCAGATGAAGTTCCTCTTCACTGTGGGCTGGTTGAACTCAAACATCACTCTAACTCAGTACATCGATGAAGTTAACCTTCATTAATGAGAATATTCTCTATATTTAATATAATTCTGATCAAGTTCAGTTGAGTGCACAATTTCTGAGGCACGTCCTGGTCAGAAGACTTTGAGTCAGGTATAATTTCGGATAAGTGTAATTGGTGATCCAACATTTCAAAATAGGTAAGCACAGTTCATGCTCACAATTGCAGGGGGCGCTATAGAGACAGTCTGAACATCATTGAAAAATGTAAATGTACACACTGTGTTCTATCAAATCTACTAGGTCTATTTTAGTAGTGACATTTTTGTCACACAGTAATGTGGGTGTGTGTACTGTGTCAGTCCTGCACAAGAAAGTATAAAAGAGAAACCACAGGCAGAGGGCAGTGTTTCTGAGAACTGAGAGCCGTTTTTTTTTTTTGGATGAATCAGTGTCAAATCAAGACCATGATAAACCCTGAGGGAGAGAGATAGATAAAAGCTGCCAAGACGCTGAGAGTTATTTCACTGTCAGTCAGGACCATAATATGGGTCACTGTGACACAGACATGGATGAGAAGCAACATATTCCTCTGAATGTGTGCGTTTAGGCATGGTTGTGTGGGAGTGTGGTGTGTTTATGGCACATGAGAGTACAGGAGTTCATGCTTGTTTCCACATACACACTCTGTGCTGCAGCTGTAGTCGTACATCAGAGCAATTCAATTGCAGCAAGAATGAATGTTCAGACCTCTAGCTCTGTGCAGTAAAACATATGAGCCCCTGATGCAGTCTTTGCTGACCTCAGATCAGTGTAACTAACAATTATGTCATCTTACAAAAACCGGGGGGGTTTGACCATAACTGATAACATCCTAGGCGTTGTCTGTAAATGAATTAAATTCTGAGTCAGCTAAAATGTATTTCTTAACATCAATGTTGTTGTCCAGAGGCAGAAACAGGTCAAAAGGTCGAGCTGTAAAAGAGATTTTCTACAAACATGTTTTCTGATGCTGGGGCTGGAATGTTGTATGTATGTAAATACTTGACTTTCAGAATAACATCATACAGTCGTGTTTATTTTTTCTTCAGCAGCATTTGGCTTTTTGTTATATATTAAAATCAAAGGTTCCCAGCAGTAGCACTGCTGCGGTGGCTGGACTCTCTTTAAAACTGTAGCCTTGTTATTCCCCAGCACAGGTGCAGCTCGAGGCCTGTTTCATGTTCCATCAATTTTCTTTCCCTGCACTTTGACCGTTTCTTTCTGCTCCTTACAATAATAATTTCGTTGATAAATGTCCTCTACCGGTCTTTTCTACTGGCTGCTCCCCTAAGGGATGTCACGTTCCACCTGACTTTATACTCTGTGTTCTCTACTGTTATACCAACCATTTACACGTCCTTCTTCGCTATAAACAACCAGAGTCTAGCTTTGCCTGAGTTATATTAACGTAAGTTATATCCTTATATAGTGTTATATTTATATATATATTGTTAGGTTTAAACTTGCCCTAGAGTCACTATTACCTAGCTAGCTCTTACATTGTTTGCTAACTTTAGCTGTTTATGGCCTACCTACTACTGGCCTAGCCCCCAATGACTCTTTAGCCTTATTTGTTTTTGGTTTTTGTTATATATTTTAGAGTATATATACTTAATACTCTATTTTTATAGGCTATAAAATATGTAGTTGGTTAAGTCTGCACCAAAAAAATAGGTGAAAATACATACATAGCTGTATTTTGGGGTAGGACGTATTCGTTTTTAAGTAACTTTAAATCTACTTGTTTCAACACAGATACTTCTAGCTGTAGCAGTATCATATATCATATAAATGTAGCATCATGTAGTGCTCCTGGCTATTTTTAATACTAACCTTAATACCTGAAATACCTCAAGGACTTTTTGACCCACCGTTTGGCTAAATTCTGACTCAGGCAAGAGGACAAAATAAATAAAAAAATATTTAGTAAGGAAAATGTGACCGAAATGTACGTGTTTCAGGGATGTTTTGAAGTTGTTAATCTAGACGTCATACATGACCTTTTGAGGCATGTTTTTGTGAAACATAAAACGCTTCACTGATTAAAAAGCATTTGCACAGTGCACTGCAAGCCAGCAAAGCTATCTGTGGCATCTCCGGCACTGGCTCTCATGTCCCTCAGAATCATGAGATCTGACAGTGTTTTGGTCATAAATCGCTCCTACCTCTGCACTGGCGACCATATTTGGAGAAACAGATGATAAAAAGACGCCGGAGGAGTGGGAGGGAGGGAGGGAGGGAGGGAGAGGCGCAACAAAGAGTGGGTGTGTGTCAGGGAAACCAAAATTCAGACCAAAACAGAGGTGGAGTTGGTGTTCGTACTGCTTGAGAGACTTTAGGAAAAGAGGAGGAGAAAACAAAATGACATTGAAAAGGCTGATAAAGAAAAGGAAAAGGAAAATCAAACAGAGGAAAAATAAAGTTAAGCAAGAAGTGAGAAGGTGAAGGAGGGACTCGGAGTGAGAGTGAGTCACAAACTTGAAAGTGCGGCCAATATGGAAACGACTCGAGCAAGCCAGGTTCTGTGTGCGTGTGTGTTTTCTGCAGCTTGATGTAATTAAGTGAGGCTCAGAGAGCTGACAGCAGTTTGTACTGATTTCACGATCACATCATGGCAACACACACACACACACTCACACACACAAGAGATTAATTGTGTATTAGGGATAACTTTCAAGAAGCAAGGAGC